TAGGAAAGTTAGAATATTAATAGAATTTTCATAGTCCGGTCCGAGTGCTTCGTAGAGGTGTTCTGGAATGTTTAAGGAGGTTCTGGTATCTGTAAAATTTCGGCAGTGTAGAAGGACGTGTTTGATAGTTAGAGCTTCTCCGCAGGTTGTACATTGAGCAGGATCGTCGTGTCTCATGAGAAAGCTGTGTGTAAGCCACGTATGCCCGATTCTGAGTCTATAACTATTATTATTATTATTATTAAAACCATTTCATGTTTTACATTCTGAACGGAGCAGTGGATGTATGGTTTTACAATGTTTTTTTTTGTGTCTGATGATGACGCTTTTTATACCAGCAAACAATTGTTCAATGCTAAGGGTAATTTGAGGTAGTAAAAACTAGTTTTCGATAGTTTAAAAACATGTTGGAGAGATAAAAATTAAAAAATGCCAAATATTTTTCAAAATAATCAGGTACTTACATAAATCAGAAAAAAAATTATAGAAAATAGGAAAAAATATAATTGTAAAACATTTAACTCTTAAGACTATATGGATTAGAAATTAGAATTTAATAAAATGTTTCTCATAATAGTTAAAAATATCAAAAAACAAAAGTATATTCAATTATTTACTTATTATGTACCTAGGTACTATGCTATACATATTATATAGTGGTATACGAATTTTTATACAGATTTGAAATTTATGATTTGACAAAATTAGATATTTAAATGAAAAATAACAACCTTCATTTTATTGTAATTAAAATTATATTAATAGTAGGATCTTATTTGTTTATGTTATTTCTATACACAGTGAAATTTTTAAAATATTTAGACTTATTTCATACTATTTAGTACTACGAACCTAAATAAAGAGTCTACGTTCAGAATCTTCTTTTCGTAAAGATACAATAGTTTATATAATTGTAGTCAAACTTATCACATCCATTACAGTAACCTACTCAATAATGATGTACACTTTAAATAACTACATACCTACACTTTACAACTACAAGCAACTTTTTATGGATATATTCAACAAGTAAGTACCGGCTAATTAATTTTAATAGAAAATAATAACCTAATCACCAGAGCATATTATATAACAACTCACAGCTTTAGATATCACGTGACCATTTGTATATACACTAGGTACAAACTTATTAGTTATTAATTATTATACAACTATAAAGTATTAATTAACCATGTAAACATGTTTTTTTTATGATGTATTTAAAACAATAAGTAAAATAAAAAAAAACAGTCGAATGATAATGACCTATACTCATAAGTTATGAGTCATAACCTACCTACTCCCCAAAAGATGAATTACGTTGGAATATATTATTGAAGGTTATTGTTACGTTGAAAGTAAGTCGAAGGAGATACCTACAAAAATATATTTCAATAGTACAAACATATACCTATACAACCTGCTAATTATTGTTTGTATGTTTATTATATATTCACAACAGTACTGAATCAACAGTAGGCTGCACTGAGTATATTCATATTAATTTATTGTTTATTTTGTAATTTCCGTCAATTTTATAATATTTGAGTAAAGCTAATGGATAGCATACAAAATATTTAAAAAGATAAAATTAATTTAACAATGATTTTATTTTCATAAGAAAATTAATGCATTTATCATGAAGGTAAATTAAAGTTATAACTATTAAGTCTTAAAACATATCATTCATATAAACATTCACTTCAACATATAATATAACTAAGACGATAAATCTTATTTAACATAACCTTTTACAAATACATATAAAGAATAAAATAATTAATTTAATTATTAACTCAAAGAGAAGTTACTCATCCACAGGTCGATGTATCGTATGGGATAAAACTAATCATAATTTATAAGTAATAACATCACGTACCTACCTTTTAATATATACCTAAGAAATATCTTTTTCCGTAGAAGATTAATTATAGAAAATTGATATTACAACATATTCGTCATCGTCAGCATCCAAAACCTCATCATTAACAACTCCTACCAATAGTGTTTCAGTACATGGTTATTATCAAAACTGTCGCGGTCTTAGGACTAAACTGCTAAATTATAAATGTAATGTATCTCAATTTAATTTCGCTTATTTAATTTTAACTGAAACTTGGCTAACAAAAAAATTTTATGATAATGAACTTGGTCTGTTTAATTATAATATTTATAGGTTTGATAGATGTTCTAATTCTAGTAATTGTAATCGCGATGGTGGTGTCCTTATTGGCATTCGCAAGGATATTTCCTCTCATCTTATTTTAATTTCTGAGACAAATGTTGAACAGATTTTTGTTAAATTTTCTATCGGTGCTTTTGTTATGTAGTTGGTGGGGTGGTGTTTATATTCCTCCACATTCCAATCCTGATATTTATAAATCTCACGTCAAATCTATTGAATCTATAACCTGTCAGTTCAAAGACCATATTTATATTTTCTGTGGTGACTATAACCTGCCTGAAATATTATGGGATAATGATTATGGTGATTTACGTTACTCTTTTTCATCGTTCCCCATAGCGCCGTGTATACCTGAAGCATTCGCAACCTATTCGTTCTTTCAGTTAAATAATATTCATAATTGTCATGGTTCGATTTTAGATCTCGTTTTTTGTAACACCAAGCTCATGTCTGTTAAAAAATCCTTTGAGCCTGCTGTCTCAATTGATCCCTACCACCCAGCTCTTTATATGTCTCTATCTTGTTCTCCTTTGGACCTTAACAGTAAACGTGACCAATCATTTTATAATTTTTCTAAAGCAGATTATCACTCAATTAGTACATTCTTAGAAACATTTGATTGGTCATCTACTTTCAAGCCTCATCTTGGCATTAATTCTGCTGTTAACGCATTTTATGATGCCTTGCATAAAGTGGTTATTGATTTTGTCCCTAAATGTAAATATAGCTTTTCTTCATTTCCTCCATGGTTCACTAAAGAAATTAAAAAATTAGTCATATTAAAGAAACAAGCACATGCCAGGTTTAAATCTTCATCTAGTGTTACGACTACAAAAAATTCTCCTTCTTTAGGGCAAAATTTAAATACTTATCCAAAAAGAGTTTTCGTACTTATTCATTTAATGTTGAATCGTCTTTTATTAGTAATCCTATGAATTTTTGGAAATTTGTAAAAAAAAATAGATCTAATAGTAATATATATTCCTAGTTCTTTAAAACTCAATGAACACATTGCTTCGTATGATCGTGATTCTGCTGAGTTATTTTCAACTTACTTTTCCTCCGTGTAATCTTCTCAAAAAGTTGCTTTAAACGTTGACGAACTTGGTATTTCTTCGTTTGACTTACCGTCCAATGTAGCTTTTAGTGTTAATGATGTGTTTGATAAGTTATCTAGTCTGCGTGGCGTTAGGTCTATTGGGCCTGATGGTCTCTCTGGTGATTTTTTATTTCATCTACCCTCAGCTATCAGTTATCCGCTCTGGTTATTATTCAGGCGTTCTCTTGATGAAGGAATTTATCCAGCTATTCTAAAATTTAGCTCTGTTACACCTATTTTCAAGTCAGGGGATCCATCTTCTGTCCTGAACTATAGGCTCCATTCAGTCTCATATCTCTAAAATTTTGGAATCTCTAGTATTAAATGATATTCGTCGGTCGATCAACCCTATTATTATTAAAAACATGAACAACATGGGTTTCGCCCGGGTCGGTCAACTGTTACCTGTAATTTAGTTTTTAGTAATTTCATTTTATAACTCTTTTCAACAACGTTCGCAAGTGGATGTCATTTACACGGACTTCCACAAAGCTTTTGATTCCGTTAATCATGATGTTCTAATTCAGATCCTTATAGCTTCTGGTTTCGGCGAGCCCCTATTGTCGTGGTTTAAATCCTTTTTAGTTGATAGATATCAATGGGTCTCGCTTTTCAATTTTAAATCAACTTTATACTTAGCTTCTTCTGAAGTACC